TTTTGTAGAAAATATAAACCGCATAAAGACCCCTAACTGTTTCTAAATGGCTCTCCAATCAAAGATGTTAAGGAAACCAAGTTCTTGGGTTTAATTTTTGACTCACACTTAACTTTTCTTCCACATATCAAGTCCCTTAAAACTAAATGCCTGAAGGCACTTGACTTGTTGAAAGTTGCTTCCAATTCTAAGTGGGGAGGGGATCAAGCTACCCTCCTCCATCTATATCGATTACTGGTCCGTTCAAAACTTGATTATGGCGCCATCGTATATGGTGGAGCCTGCAAAAGCAACCTAAATCGTTTAGATTCTGTCCACCACCAAGGTCTAAGACTATGTCTTGGCTCCTTTAGAACTTCACCTGTTGACCGCCTCTACGTCGAGGCTGATGAGCCATCTCTTAGCCAATGCTGTATAAAATTAACTTTAGAGTATATCACAAAACTATATTCCAACGAGACAAACCCTGCATATAACTGTGTCTTTCGTCCTCTTTATGAAGATTTGTATCTCTTGTTCCACCTCTTGGAATAAGAGTGAAACCTTTCCTTTCTTCTGCTGGCATTGAGCTAGAACATATAGCTCCTTCCCATCTTCTTTCTTCTCCTCCTTGGCAATTGGTGAGGCAACAAGTTGACCTAACACTGATAACGTTTCAAAAGTCAGAAACCAATGCATTGCAATATAGACAAGAATATAATCAATTAAAAACTAAAAATAATAAATACAAATCCTTATTTACGGATGGTGGCGCAGTGGCTTGCGCCAGTGTCATTGGATCCAGAACAATATCTTCTCGATTACCAGACCACAGCTCAATTTTCACAGCAGAGGCAAACGCCATCTTTACAGCCTTAACATATATTCAAAGACACCCTAAATGCAAACAATTTATAATCTGTTCAGATTCTCTTTCGTGCTTTCAGGTTATTAAAAATCTTCTCGCAAACATCCACCTTTAATTGAAATTATTGAATTATATAATGATCTTGCTACTGGCCAATACAACATCGTCTTTTGTTGGTTACCCATCCACGTTGGCATTTCTGGGAACACAATGGCCGATCTTGCTGCCAAGGCAGCACTCAACAAATCTGTGACACCACTTCTTATCCTATACTCTGATTATAAAGCTGTCATCAGATCTTATATCCGTGATGTAATGCGTGGGACGCCAAAGTGGGTATAAATAAACTACATGAAATAAAACCCTACAATGGTTACACCTACTTAGGTTGTCAGTCCAGATTTGAAGAGGTCATCATACAACGATGTCGTGTAGGCCACACAAGATATACACATGAATATTTGCTTAAAGGTGAGGAACCTCCGTTTTGTATCCCTTGTGATGAAAGAATCACGATCAAGCATGTCTTGCCCCACTGCATTGAATATTCCATCACAGTGGATAACTATATAAAATCACGAACTATGAAGGATCCTTTTAATAATGTCAGTTCTCATTTAATTATTGCATTTTAAAAAGAATTAGATTTGTTGACTGATTTGTAAATAGATACATAATTTATTATTGGTAGTTTAGATTAGCAACTGAGATTGTTAGTGGCTGTATCCTCAAGAGGGGGTTAAGGGTTATTATTGTCCTCCTGAGAGGGTACGTAAGTCCCAACACATTCTAGGTAGATTTAAACCTACTGTTATTTTAATCGTAGCATATATGTTCTTTTAATTTACGTCTAGATTGTCAAAAATTGCTGACAGCTGAAGGGATGATGTAAATCCAACTAAGGTCCATGCAGGTAGCAAAACTAATGTAAGTCCCCATGGTCCCTAGTATGGTGATATACCTTCAGTTGTTGGCGATCTATAGCCCACTTTTATACTGTAGTGTCCTAATTTGAAATCCAATTTTAGAGAGAGTTGCTAGTTTTATTCCTTGGTGCTGTGATATTTTCCAGTTGATTTTACTGTCTTTCGTCGACAGGTTTTTTATAATTTATATGTATTTATGGTGAATTCATAAATTGTTTATAGCCACTATATGGCTGAAATATAGCCGATGTGACTTAAAATCTGAACTCACTCACTGATTTTAAATGACAATGTAATGAATATATGTTTTTTAAATAAAACTCATTTGACTCTGTACTTACAATGTTTATTGATGCAGACTTGTTCTCGTCACTTTATGGCTGAAATAATGCCGATGTGACGAAAAGCCCAACTCAACTCTAATAGTGTCCCGTGAAAGGCAGTGGCCTTTACAAATGGAGACCAACTGTTCGAAGCAGTCTTCAGAAAAGATTATCCTCTTCTGATGAAGCACGTTTGGAGCCATCTATTTGTGCCATGTTTATTATTATTTATATGATTCACCGCCTCCGATCACCATGGAGTGACATGAAGACGGCTAAAGACTAACTTAATTCCTCCAACTAGCAGGACCAAGGACAATTGTCCTTGAAACATGGTAGCATTCGTTCACAGAAATCTCGTCTTGTAACCTCATAGCTGGAAATTAACTTCTTTCTTTTTCCATTCGTATGAGTGATAATTGCTCATCTAGGCTTGATTCCTTATGTTATGTTATATATCTGTATCTGATCTATACATTGTCAGAACGATCAGGAAAAAAATATATCCTCCGTTTGGTTATGAATTATTCATAAAATGGTCGGGTATTTTAACTGATGTCCACCATTCCTACATTAAATATATTGCCATGCAAGATGCGTTACTTCAGATCATCTCCCAGCAATCACCTGATGAAGGAGCAAGGAATAGCTCTGAAGAGTCGTGATAAAAAAAAGTAGATTGAAGATGTTATCCATAAAAATGTCACGTTGAATTTTGAAGAACTGTCATGTATTCTAAATTCTAAAGGCCTTTCAAGAACTCCAACTCTACTCACTCAGACGTCATTTGGATATTTACTTTGTAAAGCCACATAACAAAGCAGGATATTATCTTCAGCATTGACCGTGTTCACACACTGCCCGACCTCAGACTATTAGAAACGTGAACAAGATATCCGTGCTTCGCTACCTTTGCACGATGTAATCATATTATTCAGTAACCCATGCTTGTCGTAAGAGGCGACTAACGGGATCGGGTGGTCAGGCTGGCTAAACTCACTCACTCATTCACTCATCATATTCAGGACAGGGCAAAATGTTGGAAAGTGAATGAGTGAGTTTAATATTACGCCGCACTCAGCAATATTCCAGCTATATGGCGGCGGTCTTTAAATAATCGCGTCTGGACCAGAAAATCGAGTGATCAACGACATGACCATCGATCTGCGCAATTGGGAACTGATGACATGTGTCAACCAAGTCCGCGAGCAACAAGCATGAGTCACTGAAGATCAATATTCTAACTAGCAAGTACACTAAATAACTGGCAAGTAATACAGATATGTGTGGTCTCGATTTGATTAAAGTTTCCGAAAACCGAAATATATCTGCCTGATCAAAGAAGCGTATAGTCTTGAGTTTACATTTGGTAGAATTCAGAATTCGTTAAAAGAACAACTTCTTTATTCGGGAGATGCGACGTTTTGATACAGATTCTAGTATCGTTGTATCTTTCACTAAAAATAACAACCGTTATTGCAATCATCTGGTATATTTTTAATTTAAGCCATCATTTAATTCTTAGTTGTTTTTTTTAAATGAATTGATTTAAATGATAAAGTTTGATCATGTACAGTAACTCAAGCATCTTAAAGTTAATGAATAAACAACTCTGATTGTTAGTGGCTGTACAATCAAATAGAGAGAAGTAACGTAAAACAATTGTCCTCCGAAGCAAGTACGTGATACCGCATCTTTCAATGTATGTCTATCGTTGTAGATTTTTTGTCAGTTTGATGTATGGATGGAATAGGAATGTCATTTGTTTATGTTGTGAACCAAGACGAATTCCTTTTAAGGTAATAAAGTATTGTCTGTCTGATGTAAATCCAGCTTCGGCCCATGCAGGTAGAAAGTTATTGTAAGTCCCTCTGGTCCCTTGTATGACGATCAGCCATCAGTTGCAGGAGATTTATAGCCTGTTTTGATATTGTATTGTTGTCTGTAGTTACACTTTTTATGACAGCTTACCACATTTTTAAGACCTGTGATAGCCTAGCAGTTTTACTGTCCATCGAAGACTGTTTATTTCCGTTCTAAGTGTATTGCGTTAAAATATGCAAATTGTTCTCGTCTGGATGAAATATTGCCGATGTAACCCTAAATATTAACTCACTCACGCAATTATCTGAGAAAATATCTATTTCTTAGAGACATAGAACAAGACATACTTCTCAGATGAAGTGGGATTTGTTCTTGCCAATGGAAGCGTGTAAATACATCTGGGGTACTATGAAGGTAGCATAAAGAAATGTAAGTCTCCATTGGTCTCTTATTTAATGCTTACATGCTAATTTTGAATGTCAGTAATATCCTACTCTTTGATTGTGATTTGTCAGCAGGTTTTACGGTCGCAATAATTGATAATCCATAAACAAACTATCAACTTATTTTACCCAAACATAGAGTATTCAGTTTTAACAATTTTATTGCCTCAAACCTTTGTCAGGAAATCCATCCCTGTTTCCTTGCCTATGGACGATGTCGTCATGACGGGGCAACATAATAGAAAGACAATATATTTCTACGTAATTGATATGTACTTGATTGAAACTAAAGCTTGTCAATAACTGCAATCATCTTAGCGAACAAAGCTATTTCATACAGATTCTGGAGTTTCTGATTGTTGACGGTTTCAGGTTCAGGAAAACAATAGTCCTCAGACTAAAGTGAGAGTTGTTCTTGTAAATGGAAGCGCAAAGAGAGTTAATGATAATATGTAAGCAGACAATGCGAAAATGGATTTGAAAGCAGATTAGTTCCCTAGGCGAATGGAAACGGGGAAGCACATTTCTGTTGATTCAGCCATGGAGTTAATGGGTAATTTAAAGTTTAATGTCTTGAGTAAACAAACAAACACACATCAGTGAAGTTCCGGTTACATCAATAGTAATTACAGAGATTGGATAACACGCATGGGAACGTGGGGTCTTGAGGTAAGGGTTATAATTACTTTTCTCTTTGTCGTGACATTGTCACTGACGAACACTGATACCTAGAGGAACATCGCAGGTGACAGCTATAGTTCGTAGTGTACACAGTTTGGGCTATAGACATGTTTGGCTACATGACATTGATGATTCTATACATGGTAGGGCATGTGAATGGAAATGTCATCTCTGGACAACTCGTATCTGGTGTGTTCAAAGAGATTCATGTCCCGAGCTTCACCTTGTGTCAGTCTCTGTGTTGGTACATCACTCGTTGTAGGGCTTACACCTGGGTTACAGAGACAGGCTTGTGTCATCTCAGCAGTGTCACCAGGAGCTCTTCACCTGCCGCCTTCTCTCCCAGAAACCACCATGTATACTCGGACGTCATGGCTTCTCTTGGACTGGTATGTTGCTATGTTTTCTTGTATCGTCTTTGTTTTCCCCCCTTATTTTGTTTTGTCTTGTTATTTCATTAACTTGTGTGGGTCATGTGGCCGTGTTGATTAAATCTTTAATCAAATCATAACATATTTGATTTTTTTACTGGGATGGCTGTGATGCAGTTGAAATGTTATATTTGAAAAAGACTTGCATACACCTGCGTGTAAAATGTTTGTATTCATGGTATCAAGCGTCGGGATAAGACATAGCATTAAGGGAGGACTTCCCTAATCATACAAACCACCACTATATCTGTTGAGTGACTTGAAAATTAAGCACTGCAACTTCTCCAGGAGAATATAGTCACCAGGTTCGAATGTAATTAAAACAGGCAGCAAGTATATCAATCATTTGTGATAAATATTTCAAAGTGAAAACATTAAAGGATCTTTTTAGTAATGGTAATTATCATTATTTTAAACTTGAGTTTTTAAAGGAATTATTTATAAGTTTTGAATATGTTTGGTAGATGCGTGTATTTTATAATTGGTATAGTTGAATTAGCAACTGAGATTATTAGTTGGGTTAAAATACTGTAAAATTATTGTGGCATTCTTTCGAGCGAGGTGGGTGGCCCTGAAAAGGGCCGTTGGTAGGTGAATCAGTCAGCCAGGTTAGCATTCACAAAGGAGCTGGAGACCCCGAAAAATAAATTTTCCGGGGCACACATCATCGTGTTGTTGCTGACCTCTCTTGATGATGCCTTCCCCACAGTAGAGGCATATGTAGAAGTCTGCTCCTGGCACGACATCAAAGCGATTTGAAGGATACGCTTTAAAACAGGTATGGCAAATAATCAGGCGCCACTGGGATGACCATTTTGGTAATGTTGTTGTTGTTGTTGTTGGTGGTGGTGGTGGCGCTACCGTGTCTCCTGTCGTAGGTGGTGGTGGTGGGGCTGCCGCTGCTTCTGTTACCGTTGTGGGTATCGGTTCTGCAGGTGTTGTTGTTGCCTCTTCCCTTTTGATGTCAGCCTTCCCTTGTAAGGTAGGGCTGCATCGCAAGCATTGCCGTCTACCACAATTTTTCCTGTAAGGCGTCGGTCGCATGACTTCTACTTTTCTTGTATTCATGTTGCATGAAGATAGTTCTCACTGACCCATGCTGGAGTTTATATATGGGCGACCAGACAGCGATGACGTGTCGTCGATGACGTGGTATCGATGACGTGGCACCGCTGACGTCATGATCGTGAGCTCTCACTATATAGGATGAGCGGGGTGACGGAAGCAGTGTTACAACCAGCAATCATGTCTGGAGAAAACTGGGATCTGGAACTCATGTCCTTGGAGACAGCATCACCACCCCCCTTGCCGGCATGGAAGTGCCAACGATGTCATGGCTGCCTGCCTGTTTACGCCAATGGGACTGATGACTATCGTGGTACCTTCCAATGTGTCTACTGTGGCACTGTCTTGAAGGACACATACATCAGGCGCTTGACTCATGGGAGCAAGTGCCCCGTGAAAACAAAGATGGCCATTCATCCCTGCCAATGTATGACCCCACTGTGGTCCCTGGAGTGAAGTACATTCTAAAAAACGGCCCTTTTCAGGGCCATCCATCTCGCTCAAAAGAAAGCTTCATTCCAATGCCAACAACAAGAACAACAACACTAGGTTGACATTTTTTCAAACGTTTTATTTCCCCCGCTAACAAGAACACTTTGACAAAAGAGACAGGATTAGGGGCGTCCCTGATCTTTTGTTTACAAACGGTATGAACTGTAACATCAGAACTGTAACATCAGAACTGTAACATCATCACATCAGAACGATAAGGTTGTGTCCTTTGGCAGGGGTGTGGATCATGGCCAGCGTTGTTGTTGTTGTCTGTCAGGCGTGTGGGTTGAAACCAACGTCTTACACGTTCTTCATTGACGAGGGATCAAACTGTTCCATCACTTCGTCAAAAGACCATCCACGGGCACGATGAGCCAGTACATACAAACAGTACATCCCACAAGAGGCACTGAACCAGGGTTGAAGTGATTGGCCATTCCACTGTTGTTGGAGCCATCTGGCGAAGGTCATGACATTCCGAAAGTCTGGATGCTGTTGATAGGGATGAAGTCCATAACTGTCAAAGTAGTCCATGGCACCTGGTACTGGACGATACACGCACACCCAGTGTTGTCCTGGGAGATGGCTGGGGTCCGTGTTGACAATGTAGGCTTTAGGATAATGTCCCTCCTGCTGTTCACACAGCACGGTGGTGGCAAAGTGATCTCGGGCAAAGGTACCTTGGTAGAGGGGTCGCAGCAGGGGATCCTGTTGTACGTAGGCGTTCAAGTGTCTGGTCGTCAAGCCACTGTCGTCGTCGTCCATCCTTAGACCATCAGAGCGTTGCGGAACCGATCAATTTCCAAAACGCTTTCGTATTCCTCGTAGCAGACGAGCGTGACGGGGTGTGGTAGGGGTTCTGCAAACTGAAGTTCAAGTCCCAACTTGCCCGTCTGTCGTGGGTAGTTATACCCTTCATCTGCGCCCAGATCCGCCGTCAGATCCACTACCCACACGGTGAATCCGTTCCTGAATTCGTCCAGGTGAGGTTGCAGGGATGTTCTTGCCACAGGTGTCCCGTGTTGCGGAACAGGTTCATGTACAACTGTTTGAGCGAGGCACTGTTGTCCTGAAAGTCGCTTTTGATTTCGGTGCCATGCACTTCTTGCCCATTGAGTTTCAGCTTGAGACTGGTCACGCTTGTTGTGCTTGAAATGGTAGGGGTTCTTTCCTTGCTGCCGGCAAAAGCATCATTGTCCACCAATCCCAACACCACTCGTTTGGGCAGTTGGCCTCCAATCAGTTGATCTTTGTGGAAATCGCGTCCTCCTCCTGAAATGTCGTGGGCTGTGACTTGGACTCGGGTCAAAGGATATTTGGCCGTGACTCCTGGTGACATGTGTTTCACGTGTTGTTCCCGTATGGCAGGATCAATGTTGACTTGGCGCGTGTAAACTCTCGGCTTTGGTCAGTTCAAATCGGCACTCGACGTCTCCAGCACTCATCAAGTAGAAATCACTTTCGGCTGCGAATCAGTTCTAGTTTCATGGGGACTCCATCCACCAGGTACCGGTCTTGGAGAAACAGGTCACAGTGGAGACGTCCTGTCAGTTCCACGTCTCGGGTGGGTAGAATGACCCCTCGTCGTGCGACAAGTCCGGCGTTGGCATTCTGGGCAACAGCATTAAAGTCCTCCATTTTTCCAGCTTCATCGGTGTACCATCCTGGACACTGGAGATGGGTCCCTTTGGCTGCCTTCCCATAACTCAGCAACGTTTCCAAATAGGCTCGGTAGGGATAGGTACCCATGGAAGGAGTAATTTCCAGTTGGTTGTGTCCCACTTGCACACGCACTTCACGAAAGAGGGAATGCATCATGTTGTTCACCGTGGACACGGCGAGTGCGTCATCGCCATCACGAACTGCATTCGTACCATCTGTATTCTTGATTTTGAGGCAGATGCGGAGGTAACACTGGCTCAAATCGATGTAGGCATTGACAGGGTTAGCAATGTTAAATTGGAGGGGGCCCGCGACCGAAGGAGGTGCCAGAGGGCTGTATCGAATCCACTGACCTTCTTGGATGGACGTCACCACAGGGGGCACAGAAAAGAGATCCAGTTGGGCCTTGGAGCATTCACAGGCATCTCGGCGCATCATCTTGACAGCTGATCTGGACCACAGGTCTGCACAACAGGTCTTGACCCTACGGTGTCTGGTGTTGAACTGAACTCCTTTCCCATCGGGGTGGGTCTTTATCTCTTTCTCTCAAAACAAGGGTTTACGTTTCTTGGTGGATCCCACAGGCTGTTTCCGTTTTCGTTTGCGAGCGGGTGATCCTGGTGGTGGGTGCTGTCGCAAGGTGGCAAGTAAGGCTTGTTTCCCATGATGTTTCAAACTGTCCCCCACACTTCGGTGTCCTGAACTGATATCTTGCACCAATCCCGGCAACATCTTGACGCCTGATTTGAGAGCTGATTTTCCCACCGTCTTGAGGATGGAGAGTGCTGAACGTCCCAAGTTTCCCAAGATGTTACCGAAACCTCTCCCTCGTTGATGAATGGCGTCCTCGGTACACGGTTAAGCCGCCTCCTCCTCGCTGCTGTCCACCCAAGCCGCTACCGCTGCGGAGTCTGATACACTGGTGTCCTACCATGCTGAGTCTCAGGCGTACCCAGGCGACGGGGACGATAATGAAGTGTCACGATGGTCTTCCCAGTCTGGAATGGCACAAGACGTCCTACGTCATCCGTTAAATAGATTCGAATGGCATCCGTGGTTCCCTGACGCAATCCCATGTAGCGTAGGTGTTGAGGGGTTTTGATCACGACGCTGTCTTCCATCATCTGGCGCGACACGGGGACATACATCAGTAAGGGAGCCATGGTATCCCCCACGATTTGATCTTCCACCGCATCCGAGTAGACGTACACGGTATCAAAACCAGCCAGATGGTGTGCTTCCTGTTCACCCACGACGAGAGGACGATCAAACACAGCCACTTGCACAGGCTGAGCAGAGACTTGACTTATTTCTTCTGCTTCATCCACCATGGGGAGCTGTATGAATCCCAGCATACGTACTAAAGGAGCAGGCAACACCAATTGGGTGGTGTAGGCAGACCTGGTGGCATCGTGGTCAGGTTGGCTTGAGGTTCTGCAGGAGGAACCCGTGATGGCTCTGCACATGTCTTTCGGGGTGGGAGCATAAAAGTTGACATGCGTTTTGCCACGCATTTCAAATCGGAGGTCTTCTTTGGGGTACTTCACGGTGACGGTGAAACGACCTCGAGCATCCTGTTGGTAAACATGTTGCGTATGCTTGGCCAACAGCCGTGTACAGGTGTGTTGAAGCAGGATGTTCAGTCTCTGGACCAGTTGGCGACTGGAATACACTCCTTCTGGAATAATGACCTTTTCGCTGACGGCTCTGATGATGCCTGAGTTCTCTTCTATCACGGT